CTTACTACGCATAATAGAAACCAAATCACATTAAACCATGGAATGCAGGGTTGGAAAAGAATTGAAACCCCCCTCCCCCACCCCCCCCCCCCCCCCCCCCCCCAAAAAAATGATTTAAATGGCAATTTTTAGATTGAATCAATTTATTAAAAAAAAATTAAATAAAAATAGATCATTCTTATATTTGGGATCAATTGGCTATCCTGCTCAGTAATGTAGTGTACTGTATTTGCCGGCGATAAGGTCGCAGTATTTTTGGAAGAAAAATATCAAAATGTCGGGGTGCGGCCTTTGCACAACAATAAAATTCAGCAGTCAAAACAGCACGTCCATTTGAACATATGGGACTAGGATGACTAGACAATGGTACAGGACAATTCTAGAATAACCCCACACAACTTACCGACAATTTTATGTTGCATTGTTGACATGAAGACGAAAATAAACAGCATAACTTATTTTTCTAATAAAATCTGCAGATAGATCTAGATTTAAGTCCGTACCATAAAAGGGACAGACCGTTACTTACGAAGCTAGCTGCCGCGCAACGCAACTGCGCATGTCAAATTCCAGATTACACTGCACATCGTGGTAGGATACCAAATCTGCGTGCGATACAGTACTAGCTTAAAAATCGATGAAGATCTGCTAAATTACGATCATTTTTAAGGTAAACTTGTTGTAAATTTATAAGGATATTGATGAATATTGATGAATTTGGTATCAGTTTGTAGAAAAAATAGTGTTCTACGAGAAAATTATGATTATTTTGTTTTGTTTGTTTTTTTGTTTTTTTTCCTCTACGAAATGTCAAAGTTGGGGGTGCGGCCTATGCGGCGCCTACGGTAATTGAAAGACTTTTCTTTTAAGGCATTATCAACATCAAAATATTGTTATGTGAAAGCTGAAATCCAACTTTGATAGCAACCTACTCTAGATGAAAGAAGAAAAATCAGAGTAGGTGAAAGTTCGAATAATTTTGTACACAACAAATAAGAGGGTTATCCACACCCATGTCACAATCCACTGATAAACTGCCAATTTTAGATTTGCACAGACTTAGTGATTTCATATTTCAAACATTTATAACTTTCTTTTTATTGATCTGATTTATTTCAAACTTCCACCATTCTGTTTATCTTATGGATTGCCCTTTAAACCACTGGTTTTCCCCTTGGGAGGGGGGGGGGGGGGGCAGGGTCAGGAATACCCATTCTGATTGTATAAACAGTCAGATTCCTGAACGGACTCATCACGTTTCACGTTCAAAGTAATATTAGGTTATAGGAGGTTCATACTATTCATGCACAAAAACTAAACTTTATGATCAATTTTGGTGACACAGGAGCCCTCAAAACGCTCTGAACTACAAATGTCAAGTGTTGTTTTTTTAAAAAGAAACTGGGCTTTGAATGTGCTTGCATTACTGATGGTCCTAGGTTTAAGCCATACCTAGAACTGATGGGCCAACAAAAAGGTCCTACATTCACAACAAAATAAGCAATATTGTAGCACAAATTGCACAAAAGCAGGAAAAAAATGATTTTCTTACACACATAAGTCTATTGACATCATTGATTTTGCCAAAAAATCATGGTGACTTAAATCGTGCGAACCCTGATGGCATGAAACAAAAACAAACTCTGCAAAATTAAATAAGACCTACGTAAATCATGTAAATCAATGTAAATCGATACTACGTATCGCTGCACTTGATTTGTGTTAATTGTACACTGGAACACATTTTGCATGTTGTGCACGTTAAACTTAAAATGTTACACAGTACATCTAACACATACGTACAGTGTACATACCGGCACATGATAAACCCACTTAACGTACATTGACTTACACAAAGGGCTTGGTCAATGTCACGTATGACGTGTGAAACGCATGATATCTCCAAACATTCTACGCATGTTTCACTTCAAATATGAAAGCATGATAATGAATATCAAAGTATACAAGCGAACTATATAAAGCACAGGTTTGTGACGAAGTGCGAGTCAAATTATGATGTATTTTCTCACGCAGATGCTGCCCAACATGGATCAACGCTGTGTGCACGACACTACGAGCCAAAGCCAGGGTACTGGTTTTATCTGTGGTACGGACGTGTACATAATGAGCATGCATTCCGGCAGCGTGCCTTGCTCACTGATAGCAGCTCTAGATCAGGTTTTACACCGTAGCTGAATCAGTACGTACTGTAACAATCTCCCCTCCCTCTGTGCAATGGAAGGGTCCACTGATTATGCAGGCGGTATGGCTGACTGCATACATACAATACACAAGGCACACAGCAACTCCCAATACAGGAAATAGGGAGTGTGTGTATAAAAGACAAGCACGTGAAGTGATGAATCTTACCTAGTCTTCCTCCTGTTGTTATACTAACAATTAAAGCATGAAAATCTGAGCTTTAGTATGTAAACTTGAAGTACGAGGCATGGTAGACAAAGAGTTAAAAAAAGTTGTTTTCTCCCATTTAAACATTTTGTTTTTATTACAATTCATTCTAAGCTTTTGATAAGTTGACGTAAAACTGTACGGCAACATCCAACGGTTAGCAAAGTTTAATGTACTCCTAATACAGGTAAACATATGCACTAAATGTTGGCATGGTGAAAACACGTTTAAAACTTTGTAATCGATTTTGTATACACTGGTCTTCCGGTTGACGTGATAGCCCTCTTAAAATACACAATTACACACTTGTGGTCATCACAGTAGAACACAAATCGCTATGTACAATTGCTAGAAATAATGTTTACCTAGTGTACCAAGAAGCTACATGTTTAAAGGTACCATTTAACATTTTACAGCCTTCTCTATTGATTAAGTTGTGAGTAAATTCATTTTAGAATGAAAGGAAAACACATTAAAAAATTATACAAAAAAAAATGTATTTTTCAGAGTTGGACTTTAAAAGTCTTTTGCTCTTCCTAAATGAAAACATGTAGAAAATGCAGTATGGAAGAATTTCTGAATTGTTTACATACATCAAATGCTCATGAGAAACATTCCACCTAAAATTGTTTTAATAGCTCAAGAATAATAATATATTTGACATCTTTTACACAAGAAAATAAAATGTGTGAAATTTTAAAAGGCCAGGAATTATTTGATCTTCATAGAAGCAGTAAAAATCAGACAGTTGATCAAAAAAGTTTGAGGGAAATGACTATGACACAATAGTAATCAACTTTTCAATGATATGAAAGACCATAGACTATGAAAATTAGGGCTGCGACATTCGACTACTTGCACTATTGACAACTATTCGTGTACGATTTCTCGTATTCGAATATTCGCCCCCCCCCCCCCCCCTCCAAAAAAAAATCCTGGTCACCTGGCACTGTCCAGGCTGACGCTTACCCATACCAGGGAGCGTCCCGGCCGCCGGCATGGTACCGTGGGTAAAAAAATTCCAGCTCAATCACTGTCAACTCACCACTCAGAAACTGGGACCAAATGCCCGGATTTTTGTTTGGACTCGGAAGTAAAGTCTTAGTCATCTTTGGTTTTTAAAACAGCATTGTTTACTATCATTATTATTATTAAATCGGCACCTTCAACTGCAACTCGAGGTAAAATAGGATGAGTTTTCGGAGACGGACCTGGGATATTTCTACCATAGTACTATGGTAGTGGCAATTTTTTTAATAAATTTTTTTTGCCACCACCATACATAAAATTCATACCGAAAACTCACGCTATTTTACTTCGAGTTGCAGTTAAAGGCCCTGATTTAATAATAATAATAGTAAACAATGGTGTTTTAAAAACGAAAGATGACTTGAACTCCGAGTCCAAACAGAAATCTGGACATTTGGTCCCAGTTTCTGAGTGGTGAGTTGACATTGATTGAGCTTGAAACATATTTACCCACGGTACCATGCTGGCAGTCGGCGCTCTCCATGGCACGGGTAAGTGTCGGCCTGGACAGTGCCAGGTGACCGTGATTTTTTTTTTGCCAAATATTCGAGTTTGAGATATCGTACTCTAGTAGTTGTCAACAGTGCTGGTACTCAAGCATTCGACTACTCGTCGCAGCCCTACCCTACATCACAAAAAATGTCGTGCAGTGCATTGTGGGGGAGAACTGGCTCGATCGTCAACTTTTTTTTAATGCTCATTAGAGGTGTTGTGGTCGAGTGGATACGTCGCCGGCCTCCATTCACAAGGTCCGCGGTTCAAGTCCCACCGCCGCACTAATGTCCTTTGGCAAGACATTGATCTACATTTGCCACACTCCACCCAGGTGAAGTAAATGGATACCTGGTAGGAATTTATTCCTTGAAATGCTAGAGCGCCGTATGGCAGCAGTGCTAAAGCCAGGGTAATAATCAGGAGCACCAGGAGGGTCAAATCTGACTGACATGAGCGCTATACAAGAACCCACTATTATTATTATTATTATTATTATTAAAAAAAATTATTAAAAATAAGTCGGAGCACCATTTTCCAAAACCCAAGTTATATTTGGGTTTTAATCTGAGTTTTCTTTTGAAGTAGTGATCAACATTCTACGGCATTTGGTTAACTTGCAGTATGTGCAACAACAAAAATATTTGGAAAAAAAGAAGAAGTATCTTACGAAGAAATAATGAACTATCGTAATTTTGAGGAAAAAACAGAATAATTCCAGGAAAAACGTAATGGTTGGCAGCTCTGATTCTGAATCACTATTGTGATGAAGTCTGCATCACATTGGCAACACAAAATCAGCCATTTTCGCAGTCACTGCATGTATATGCGGTTCCGGCAGAATCAACATTGCCAACTCTAGTTTCTCTTTCTTTTCTGCTTTCATAAAAATCAAATTAACATCAGGGTGGACTCCCCTTTAAGAGAGGAGAAATAAAGTCTGCAGTCAACATGTTTATTCCTCATTTTCCTAACTCATTGATCTTGCATTATGTCATTATCGTAAATTATATCCTAAATTATATCCTAATTGGATATTGTATGATACCAAGGAAATAACAAAGACTTACTTGTGAGTTGAAGTGTAGCTGTTCTGGCTGAGCTATGTGTAATGTACGTTGTAGTTTGAATAGATCATTCATTGACACAAGAGTCCGGTCTAGAAGATATAACAAGTAATAAATCTGTTAAAAGGGAATTCCAGTATTAAAGATGACCGTTCACAAAACACATAATAATTGGTGCATTTCAAATTTGATTCTGGCATCTCGCTTGTAACTGACCTTTATTCATATGTGAACATGAAAGATCATTCATACATGATTGTGATTCAGATCACATCAAAAACATGTTTTCAAGATGAGAGACAAGTTAGTTAATGATTAGGGTCTTATACCCCTTTCAAACTGGCCTGATTTTGATCAGATGCATCCGGACGCATCCGATGAAACGGCCACTACGATTGGTACATAGGAGAAAAAGCAGATAGAATAACTGATGTAAAGAAGAAAAACAGGCGATTCTCCTGCTCTTGAGCAGGAGAAATTCTCTTTCTATCGGTGTGACTCCGATGAGAGGGCCACTGTGAATGAGCTTGGGAGAAAACACTGATTAAAACACCAATGAAAATGGTCAAAGGTCTGCAGTGTACACACGCTTTCTCGGAACCAGCTACAGGTGTTTATTGACATTTTGTTGAACATGCTGCATGCTAGCTAGATGGTGCGCGGACTTAAATTTATTCGTTTTATTTGTATTTTGCATTTATGATAAGCTTTGTAAAAAATCCAAATTAATATATATAGTTATAATATATTTACCGGTATTGAAAATTATATATTTATTAGACCAAATGGTGAACAAAACAATTTATAAAAATAATTACTAACAAATGTAATAAAAGTACAATGGATTTTTGTTTATCGTAGATGTTGTTTCGTTTTAACTAAATTTGCACATATAAACTTTCGCTACCGTTCGTTCGTTTCATTTGCCACACGTTTTCTGTGCAATCATTCTTCACTTCTGGCCAGGGCTCACCACAGCGAGTGAATTTCACCCACAGTATGAAAAGGACAGCAGAGAAAGCGGGGTTGTCACCTTTGTTTACATAAGGAAAATTCTATCTGTATTTTCATCGGTGTGACTCCGATAGAAGCACTATGAAAGGGGTATAAAAATGAGACAAGGAAATCTACCATATCTTGAGTGTGAACACACACAAAATATGTGAAGGCACAGATTTATGAGCATTTCAATGAAAAATCACACTATTCAGTGGATGGCCCACACGAAACCTGTATTTTAGTATTTGCAATAGCTCAGATTAGTAACATGTGTCTAGAATTCAAATACCATTGATATGTGTCATTTGCTCAATGTTTTGCTCCATATCTTATCAGGGCATGGACATATTAAATTAATAACAATCACACTTTTTTCGGTAGTCAGAATGCAAATTGCATGGGTTGTTGTGTAGCAACAACTTATATGCAATTTGCATTCTACCTGTTAAAATACAATTATTTATAACAGGTGCATGATTTCATTTGTAAAAAGAGACAACAAAGAATTGTGCACAACATTTTTTTACATAACAAAGATGGTCTAGTATGTAAATTCCACTAGGATGATAAACGCGACTTTGAGCAACAAGTTAGAATGACTCAAAATACATTCATGGACTCTCTCAACCATCCTTTCTTGGTAACTCCCATATCCCTTTCTATGTCAAGCTAAGCATTTGTGACTTTTTGAAATTCAATTTCACCAGGAAATACAATTATTTTCTGCAAATTATTAAATATCCACATAACTGTTGAAGGCTTTTAATAAGCTGAATGAAATCACTTCTTCCAGCAGTTTTTCGGCACTTTTCAATTACTTTTTAGGAAATCCTATCTTCACATGAACATAATTTTTCTTTTTTCTACTTTCAATTTTTTTAATTTTTTAAATCGATCAAGATAATTACAATTGTATGTCTCAAACAGTTGTCATGAATGCAGCAATGCACGTATAACAGGTTCATAGGTTGTTAGTATGACCTAGGTAACATGATTAATTTTCTACGTATTCATGTTAGTGTGACATTATATTCACGTGGAAACCAAGATCTTCAGGAGCTTTGGCAAAATTGAACAATCTCAATTCAACCTTACCGTTCTTAAACAGAACATGAACAAACCTCTATTACGCACGTACAATATACAGTAATACATACAATTTTTAACGTAAAATTTGCAAAAACACGACATATGCACATCTCACCGAAGCTAGGCAGGTTTCTAATAATATCCCTCTACCCCAAATGGAATATTCCTACGTAATTATGCAGTCGTCAACTGAAATCCCACGCTTGGTTAGCATGAGGCAGCCCCGGCTGTCTGAGTCAAAGGTTGTTTGTTTGTGGCGCAGGGCTCTTGGTTGAATGCCAAAGTTCTGCCACCAGCCAGCAGGGAAAACTACACTCCCGGGTAATATATTCAAGGCTGGCGTAAGAGGCCACAAACAGGGACTCGTATGGACAATGGTATATGGCATGTACTGTACGTACAGTGTACAGCAATGTGGAAATGCAAACATATTACAAAACTCTACACGTACAGTCTGTATCAGCCCGTGTGCTAGTACTGCTACACACAACAAGACTGTACGGTATACATGGCTTGTACCATACACGTATGTGTACTGTTTGGCGTACATGCAAAACTTTCATGCAAAGAATTTAAGCTAAGTTAAGAACTTATAAAAACTTCACAAGTTTAATAAAAGGCAAGTTGTGTTAATTACTACACGAACAAACCTGCAAATAATGACTGTTTACAACAAACATCAAAACACTGAATTCACTTGTGTGGATGTTTGTGTAATCCGGAAATTATAACGGATATCATGATAAATATAGAATACAGGCTGGTGATTCTAAGACGTATTTCACAGGGTAGTCTTGGATCTTTCCTGTTGCAATAGAGTGTGGAACTTTTATGAATAAATTTATATTCTTGAAATCACAGGGAAAGGAGAATACTTGGCTGCTGAACAGCTCTTCCTAATCTTGAATAATCTTAAGTCAGAGTTAAGGGGCAACTAAATAATTTAAAACCACTAATAATTAACACAAGAATAACTTCAACTGAAATAGTTTGAAGTGATAGGCCTACATCATTCCTTTTCTCTTGCCAATTTTCTCACAAAGTTGCACCAGTTGAGAAGTGAGGTAGCGGCCGGCTGGCCGGTTTGAAGCCCTCTTCATCTTTCTCCCAAAAGGTCAATGACATTAAAGGGTGGAGGGGGGGGGGGGGGAGAACATAATACTTATCGGTTATATTATACTGCAACATGTTGTTAATGCTACGCAGACATGCAGTGGTAAAATGCACAGAACAATTATCTGTTAGGTTATGCACAATTCTCTTTTTCCTCCAAATGCTATGCTATGCGCTTAAAGGACTTTGGTGGTAAGCGCTTTATAAGCAACGTTTTTATTATTATTATCTGTATTTATTACACTTTCCTTCGTGTCCTCACCAGGATTCTACAAGTACACACTTGCCCAGCAAAACCAAAATATGCCAAATGGAGTATCAAACTAATATAACTAGGCAATTTTTCAAATATATCTTTCTAAAAATCTTGCAAATGGCAATGTTACTTCTTTTTCTGTTACTATTGTTATGATTTTTCAGTTTGGAATTTCCAGTTTTGCTTCATTTTGTAGAAAGTTGGAATACTATACATAGTGAAGACATGAGCATGATCGGAACAATTGCAGGGCTCAATGCATTCCTGCTGTAATTTAATTTTTAATATTTATATCAACGTTTATCATTAATTTCAAATCTATAAGGATTTATGTATAGATACTCGATTCTAAATTGCTGGATTAATTGCATAGTGACTACTGATTTTGATGAAAGTTGAACTGGTTAACTAAGATGATAGAGCGCATCCAGACAGGTATTATAGTCTTGGACAGAACCACCATTTGGGGTAGTTGCTAGAATGTCTTATACTGTTTTCACACTGGCAATATTTTGCGTAACCCCGTACTATAGGTGGGGTTAAAGGGTATCTTAGCCCCACCTATAGTCCGGGGTTAAGCTTATTCCACTTTTTTTTCACACTGGCAAAATGTTGCTTAACCTCGTACTATAGCAGGGCGCGACAAACCCGCTTGCCCGACGTCCCGGGGCAACCAAATTGAGCCGTCGGGCAAGTAAATCAAATTATCACTTGCCCGATTCGGGCAAGTGATACTTTTACAGTAATTTCCTAGTGTCCAAGAACTCTACCATTCACCCGTCAACTTCTTACCCGTCGTCAAAATCCAGAAGCAAAAAAGCGATCGTTCCGATTTCGAAAAAACTTCACAGACAGCTAGCCAGCTCAGCTAGCTCAGCGCGCATGCAACAGTGACACTTCAAGCCATGAATGCCGCTCCGCCTCCACGCACGGCCGGCCGTGAGCTAGCTAGAGACAGCTAGCGCGATCGTACCAGCTGCGAGCTTATTCGCGCTCTCTCTCTCTAGCTCTGCAGGCCGCACCGACAGGCCTTTGCTATTCTCTGATTGCCGATTGGTTGAATCACGCCAAATATGACGTCATTATTCTAGGGAAATGAACACGTGCGAATCGGAATGGAATAAACAACAGGGATTTTCTAGTAAGTACAAAAAGTCAAATGTTTGATATTTATTCATAATGACTGTTAATGATTGTGAACATATTATTTAAAACTCGCTGCTCATATAAATCAGATGAATGTTTTTGTCTCGTTTTCAATTTATTACTGCGGTCTCAAGATCCGACCGAGCGAGTCATTTTGATAATAGTATCGAGACCCCCAGAATATAAGCCGTTGTTGTTTTGTTTTCATGGTTTTAGCGACGTTGTTTAGTCTAGTTTTCGCATACTTATCCGAGATTTATCGTAAAATATCTTCAATATTATTATTTAGTAAGAATTTACAAATTTTGGCATGATATTTATAGCAGTGAATGATGAAATAAAAATGTCCGTACTTTATTTAAAATAGTTGATTACCCATTATTTACATGACGTTTCTTGATGGAAGAGTTGACCCAAATTATTAACAGCTGAAAATTAGCCTACGTTTCCAAATGACAGCGGCTTGCACAGACACACATGTGATGTTGCACCATGGTACATGTGGCTACCATTAATGACATGTTTGTATCATATTTTTTACAACAGGGTCATTATGCTTTTTTACATGACTGAATATTAAAAACTTAAACCTGCTTGAACCATTCTACCTTGCCGAGATTCATGTGAATCTGATTATTTATGGAGAATCAATAAAATGCGTTTTTTAAACCTTCAACCATCCTTTGTTGACCATTTTCTTTGACATATTAGGTTATTATTCAGTACAGTTACACTGTACATGTATGTGCATTAATTTGCTATCTAAAACACTAACTTATCATTACGAGATAATAAATGCTTTAACCTCGAGTCCTTTTTCGCTTTAAAGTTTTGGGCAAGTGGAAATATTGTTTGGGCAAGTAAATTGAAAACCCACTTGCCCGACAGGGCAAGTGGTGAAAAAAATTCTTGTAGCACCCTGTATAGGTGGGGTTAAAGTGGGGGTTTTAGCCCCACCTATAGTCCGGGGTTAAGCTTATTCCACTTTCTTTTCACACTGGCAAAAATTTGCTTAACCTCATACTATAGGTGGGGTTAAAGGGGGGTCTTAGCCCCACCTATAGTCCGGGTTAAGCCTATTCCACTTTCTTTTCAGACTCGTATTTACCAAAGTGGGCTAGCCCCACCTATAATACGGGGTTAGCTGGCCCTGCAAAATAGCAGGTGCTAACTCCTGTGATGCTAACTCCGCAATTGCGGTGCCAAGCAAATGAACGAGAACAGAAACGAAAAATAGTCCGGGACTACGCAGTGGAGCGAGTTAATGAATATTTACACTATGGCTAGTACAGGGCTAAGGAATTGCAGTGAGAAAAGCCCAAAAAAAATAGTCCGGGGTTAAGGATAGTACGGGGCTAAGCAAAGTACGGGGTTAAGCAAAACAAGTGTGAAAAGAGTATTACTGTAAAATCCCTGATTGGCAAAAGCCCTTCCAAAAGATCGCTTTTCCAACAATAGTTAGTGATAAATGAACTATAATAATAAAACGTGGAGCATATTGCATCAAGCCTATGATCAGATATGAATGAACCTTATTTATTCAATTTTCCTGTTATCAAATTCCAGCAAAAATGTGTCTTCAGAACTTAAGATTAATGAGCCAACAGAACATCAAGCATACAGTTATCAATTTACCAGGCAAATACGTGAAAGAAATAAGATGTGCATCTTCTTCACGATGAATTAGGAAATGTAAGATGTTCCTGACTGCACTAAGGAACAACCAGGTTTAATTCTTTTAATAACATATTTGAATATCTCTGTTGTCTACAGGTTAGAAATGTGTAATTTTATACAATATTTCTAACTGTTCTTTTTTCATACAAAGTTTCTTGTCATTTTCCCTTCATTATTAAAACGAACAAAATCAATGTATAGTTAATATTGATTATTCCTCAAATCAAAACGAAATTGTGAGTTTATTGCACTGCTCCATATCGCCTGCATCAGGATAAAAATTGCGATGATTGTGAAACCAAATGAACCGTACTTCTGGAGTGGTCCAGTGGATCTGTCTAGCGTCCAGCAAAGTGAGTGAGAAAGAGGTCTTATGGGACACTCAATATATAATTGGAAAGTTTGAAGAAATAAAACACATGTACATGTATATTGATTGTGAATTTTTAAAACAATACGTTGGCTATAGAGTTTGTAGAGGTGGGCATGTTCTTGCTAAAAAGCTTGTTTGACTTTAACAATGTTAAATCTGAGATGCATGGCCCTACGTGTTATGAGTGTCTGTCATATCGTATAATATTGAAGCCCTAAACAAATTGCGGTTCAAATTGATCATGAAGTGCCTCAAAAAATTAAAAATCTTTGAGTGACCGGTTTTACCATACCCATTTTCCCAAATAGCCTGCAGTGTTATAAAAACAGTTAGGAAAACGAAAAATGAAATTTCGATTTCCAATCATAAATTTCTTGATAATCAGACAGGTGATCGGCTTGTAAAAGTCATGGGATTCCTGACCGACCTAAAGATTTATTATTATGATTGCAGCTTGAGCTAAATCCAGGATTTGTTTCAGAATCTGAGGCAATGTTACAGAGTCACATTACCGGTAATAAAAAGTTTCATCAAAATTTTAAAAATATGTCACTTCTCTTAGCTACAACATATTCAAATTTGGTGCAGAAAAAAAAAATTGACCATGAATCATTAGCAGTGCTATTATCCAAATTGAATTCTGATTTTGACATATGATGACATGACATATTCTAATGTAATATGAAATAAGAATATAAGAAATATAAGAAATTTGGGGGTTCTTTCATGCAACTCAAGCACTGTCAAACTCACCAATCAGAAACTGGGACCAAATGTTCAGATTTCTGTTTAGACTCGGAGGGCAATGGATTATTCTGCCATCTTTGGTTTTTAAAACAGCATTGTTCACTGTTATTATTATTATTATTAAATCGGCGCCTTCAACTGCAACTCGAAGTAAAATTGCATGCGTTTTCGGCGATAGAGGTCTGGTGGTGGCAAAAAAAAAAGAAAAAAAAAAGAAAAAAAAATAAAGAAAAAAATTTAATTTTTTTTAAAAAAATTAAATAAAACATGGCGTCCGATTATATGCAAGTATTCGCTTGTAAGCCTGGGAGTGTACTCGGGTACCTCATTACACTGTTGTGCACAGCCTTAGTATAAAGTCATTAAGTCAGAAAGGACTAAAATTTGGAAAAGTTGCTAAGGGAAGTACCAGAAATCCGATCCATGCAAAAAAAAAAAGACATTTCAACATTCCGCGCAATGACGTGCACAAGCTAACTTCCGATTTCTAAAATCTTTAATTGCGAAAAATGGACTGACTGAAACGTACGCTAAATTGAATTGATCAGGAAGTAATTTTGAGCCCTTTTACATTGTGGTGAGCATGTTATGATGCACATGCAGACTGCAGACACTACACATAATTTGTAATCAGCCTTGACCTCTACGAGGACCAAATTTAAATAATTTTTGATGGCTGGTTATAAAGATATGATTGATGTGATTTTACAAAATATATGATGTCATGGTCGAGTGATCAAATTGAGAGGGAGAGGTTTTCTATTCCTGACCAAGGGGAGTTAGTGGGGGAAAATTGAATGATTTTTTGGAGAAAATCTGACCATAAAAAAACGTACAACAATACCTGGTAGTAAAGAAATAAAAAATAATTAAAGATTCTGATGAAATCAAAAGGTGATCTGCAGATCTGCTGCAGATCACCTAATTATAACACCAAGAACAACAACAAAATGCAACATTCTGTCATACATGAACATCATCAAACCATAGGATTTACAATTAGGAATAGGAACAGTCTAATCAGATTTTATCAAACTCTTGTCCAGTTAGAAAATAGTACAACAACTCAACAATTAACAATACAACATGCTGATAAAGTGATAGCATGGCATACTGTACATGTATTACAAATCATAACCCAAGAATGATATTAAATAACTGTCCTATTTCACAACTTACAGAAAAAATATCTGAAAATGAGACAATAAATTTGAGAATACACAAGGCAAGACCTTACCAGTGCAGTCAGGCATCTGCAAACAAAATGGCAGTAGACAGCAACCTGCTCTGACTGGAGCTAGCACATCTAGGTTCCCTGCTCTCTCTCAAAGTTTGGAAGTTGTACCGCATAACTTCACATGCATGCATCATCAACAAACCGCACACACAAGCATGCCAAGTGGTGTATGAAAATGAGACCTCTTACTATGCATGTGGGAACACACAGCTAAGCCCAACCCCCTTTTCATATTATGTGTCAGAGGAGAGGACCTGGCATGCATGCCCCGTACCATAGCCCTGAAAAGCCTCATTATCATATGGGCAGAGAGGCATTAGCATAACACCTCACAGCTGTTCATTCACAATACATAGCTTAGCTGGAAAAATGGAGAAAGAACCCACCTAGTCCAAATATACACACAAACAAAAAAGTGTTGCATAACAACACTGCTTCACTCTGAGCCACCACCGGGCATTCCATTATCAGCTGGAGGGTGAACAAATGCGAAGGAAGAGGAATAATTTTCCATGCAGTGCCAGAAAGATTACGACAACAAATTCTTATTCTTTCTACCAAAATACATGGAGTGCCATTCGGGTAATAAAAACATGTGAGGTGTGCTTAGGAACTTTGGCCTGAAAATTAAATAGCGGTTAATGTTAATTTTCAGGAACCAAACGCACAAAACTATAATAAATAATTTTAAAGGGAAATCCAACCCAAATAGATAACTACTCTAAATGAAAGCAGTAAAATCAGAGAAGCAAACTGATGAAAGTTTCAATTAAATCTGACTAAATATAAGAAAGTTATGAATTCTTGAAGCTAGCTGTAATCACTATACGTAGAGTATGGGCACTTCAAATTGGCAGAAGCAGTAATATCAATGTGATGTAGTGCCGGACTACTTTCCCATCTTTTTCAACATATAAAATACCAACAAATTTAAATTTTTCAAAAGTTAATGGCCCAGGAGAGTTCTTTTTGGAGGATCTATAATAATATGCTAGCTATAGTATATATTGAGTAGTGCCCCAATTAAGAGAGAAGGAACTTACAAGAAAATCAGAAATTAGTGATATTTTTGTACACGGCAAATGGGAGAGTTATCCACGTCCTATGTCACAATCCTCTATAAACCAAACTACCAATCTGAGATTTGCATACACTTACAGCGTGTTTCTATTAGAAACCATTATACAGTTAATGGCCAATAAGGAATAAATTTTGCCTAAAAGAAACTGACCTTCTCCGCTATTATCCGGATAATGGCCGTGAGAGCTGTGACGCGTTCACCGGCAAATTATCCTTCTTTTAGAAGGATAATGCAGGGGAAGCTAACCGGATAATGTAAGTACTAACTCACGCTGTTCCGATTGAGTGCACATCAGGGCTCAAATTAATTTTTTGCCCACGGGGGCTCTTCCCCCCCAAAAGAGCCCTGTGACTGGCTGTGAGCCTTCTCTCGGGCCTACATGTACATAGCTGTTACTGATTTTCATCCAATGATGACATTCTCTCGATTTCTTCCCGTTCACATTCTTTCTTTACTTTAAGTCTTTACCCAGGGGCGGATCAAGCTTTTTGCTAAAGGGGCTTTTACACCGGGCCTTGCGTAGTGTTGCGTAGAGTTGCGTAGAGTCGCGTAGCGACTACGCCGCTCGTACGCAACCCTACGCAACTGTACGCGGAGGGACGCGAGATGAACGCAAGAAATTAAACATGTTTAATTTTTTTCGTGTACCTTCGGCGTAGACTTTACTACGCAACTGTACGCCAAGCCTACGCAACAATATGCTACCCTACGCCAGTCCGACGAAGCATTAAAAACGTATGGTATAAACATTTTTGTTGGTAAATACCTGGATGTAAACTTGGCAGGTATTGATCATTGATCATTCTTGCTTGTAATTCTGTTTGTACTACCACAAGGTATATCAGACTGACATGTTTTGTTTTGTTATGGTTTATTCAATTTGTGATAATTGACATCTCAGGCTGTTGATATAATAAACAGAGATAAGATTCATAAACTGATGCCTCATGCGAAAATTTTATTATGTTTTGTGGAAATCTGTATGTATTTGTGTCGGTTTGTTTGCTTGTGTGTACGTTTGTGGTCCTGTTTGTATGTTTGTAATATAATTTTGTTTAATTGAAATGAGCAAAGAAATAATTTTGTCTCACTCTGTTAGTGAGACTGAGTGAGTGTGTATGTCAGAAGTATTTCTTTAAATCTAATAAATGACTAACATTTATATCATTACATTGTCACACACAAATACGCTACGGACCAAGGACAACAGATATCGTCTTCAAACTTTCAGGAAACTGTTATGGAATGATATTTTACAAATGAGTGAAAAAAAGGGATATGGTCAACAAATATCAGACTTCTGTCCACATTTATTCACAAATCAAAATAAGCGCTCTCGTTTGTTGGCGTTTTGAGGTATCAAATCACATCACGTGACCTTCCAATGTTCATCAAAAGAAAGTTCATATATTACCCTTTTGAATGATACATAGTACAATAATGTAGTACATCAACAAAAATGTCTGCAGTTTTTGGAAAATAAAATCCCGAACAAATTAACATTACTGCAAAATAACCTCAGCAGTTGCTAATACCTACTAAAAAAACTGAAAATTTAACGTTCAAAAACGTATACCAAATACCACTTTTTACTATTAAAACTTATGGCAGGTTTATAAATGTTATTTCCTGCACTCACTATTTTACGCAAATTGGCGTTTCAGCCCTATTTCACGCATGCAAAAGAGACCCACTGCCCCTTGGATGTCACAGTTTGTCAGAATGTTATTATTATACTAAGATCAAGTTATGTTCACATGTAATAACATGTACAATTGTTTGTACACTGCACAGTTCATTTATACAATAAATTGAACTGTCTTTTTAAAATATTTTGTTATTATATATATTTATAAAGCGCTAATGGCTATACTCGCGGCTCCTACGAGCGTCTATTGCATTTTTACATGGCATTTTCGCACACAGTAAACAAACGTACGCTACCGTAAGCAACCCTATGCCAGGCCTACGCAAGCGTACGTAACCCTACGCCAATTGCCTACGCCGTAGGTATGTGGTGCCTACGCACAGGGTACGTAACTATAAGCCATCGTACGCAAGCCTACGCATAACCTACGCAGGGACTACGCCGAAGCATCAATTTATTCATGAGTACGCAGCTTAACTTCGGCGTAGTCGGTATGAAACACTACGCAACTCTACGCAGATCCGGTGTGAAAGGGGCTTAAGGGGGGATATGACCCAATGCAGAGCATCGTCCACGAGCCGCGTAATAAAGTGATGTTTTTCTGGCATCTACTTACATGCGGAGCATCGTCCACGAACCACATAGCGGCAAGGCGATTTTTTTTTTTTTTTGTGCTTTTTTGAAACCACGTAAGTGATGTTTTCCTGGCATCTACTAACATCTACTAATACTGTGTGGGACTGGACACATAATGGCGTTTTTCGTCACACTTTCACTTGGCAGCCAAAGAATGGGGGGGGGGGGGGAGGGTGTTAACCCCCTAACCTGGCCCTCCCCCCGTAGATCCGCCCATGTTACCATATCCTTCCACAACGTCTTCCAACTATTTTCCATATTGATTTACTGGTCGAGGTTCAATTTGCTGATCTTTTGGAATCACCAAATTTCAGAGAATTCACGTTTTTCACAACAAAAAACTTCTCCATGACCATGTTTCAACTCCAGCAGATATGGGGCGGCAGCGTGCACGTACTGGTACTAACTGCGCAGTATAGCCAGTGCTGGCGGCTGCACTGCGAGCTTCCGTTGATTGTATCGTTAATACTCATAGAGATGGGAGATATAGCACCAACCACCGGCGAATAAGCGTACATTTCTTTACAATAATGGCGGCCTTTACTCTCTAGACACTGACAAATTCGATCGAGAAATCTTGCACGCTAATCTAAGTTCCATTTCATTGGTTTAAGGTTTGATAATTGGAACTCAATATTGTGTTAAAGTTATAACAGAAAAGATAATCTTTATTTTATAATTCTACGGGGGGCAATTTTTAATTTTGCAATCGCCACCGTGAGCAGCCTGACAGAGGTGATTATGTAGTTCACGTGGCGAATCGCACCTCGCCCCCGTGTATTTTGAGCGCTGGAGCACATAACAGAGAGAAACCGGAAATCAGAGTGATCACGTAATCAGAATATTTTACCCCGACACTAAAATCTCAGGTTGACCTAGCAGTCCCACAATACCTTTATTCAAGGCTTTTTAACCTGCTAAATCGGAGCAGTGTATTTATCCGGATAATACATGTAGATAGAAACTGCCCTTCTCTGGCATTACTACAACTACTGTATTTGCCGGCGATAAGGCCGCAGCGCCGTATAGGCTGCACCCCAGATTTTGACCAAAAAAAAAAAAAAAAACTTTTGCCAAAGTCGGGATTCGATCTCTTGCGTACAAATGTTGATGTGACTAAAATCACCGCCTTAAACCGCTCGGCCATCACGCGCTGATACCATACACTGCAGTTTTCTGTGATGTAGTCATTGAAATGGATTGAAAATGGCGACTTCGCGTGCTGGATGCTTCGCGGAACCTCCGTTAAACGGGCCCTTCTTTTACTTTTGCAATGCATTAGCACGAACTTAGATCAAAATCTATCGGCAGATGTTGTTTTTGGAAGTTTATTTTCGTCTTTATGTCAACAATGCAAGATAAAATTGTTGGTAAGATGTGTGGAAATGTATAGTTATTGTACCGTACATAGATCTAGTCCCATATGTACAAATTCGTGCTGGTTTTGATTTTTTTTTCCCCTTTTTTTTTCCTGTTTCGCCATAAAGGCCGCATCCCGACTTTTTGATATTTTCTCTTCCAAAAATACTGCGGCCTTTACGCCGGTAAATACGGTAATAGAAACACACTCTATGTGATCCCATATTTCAGCCATTCATAACTTGCTTACTATTGGTCCGATTCATTTCAAACTTCTGCCATTCTGTTTCTGTTATTTTTCTGCTTTCATGCAAATCAACTTATTGCAAGGGTTGGATCGCCCTTTAAGTCTGTCAATTTGTATTCATTGGGGGGGGGGGGGGGGAGCTTGGTACAAATTGAAAGTCTTCAATTTGATGAGTATATAACTCAATTCTCTTTATGTGATTTTCATATTTTAAATATTTGTTTGTAGATATTTAAAAATTGTTATATATTTGTTTGTCATTTTTATTTTATTGATTTTACTTGTTTTTTAAAGGCACTTGGTAATGTAGTTCATCTGAA